GGGAAAACCATGTGATGCCTGCCCTGTTCATTCTCCTTACTTGGAAAGGGCATTGCAGTTACCTAGTACAGCAACTCCTCCTTCGCCTTTTTTTCATTTAACATTTATTAAAATAAAAAAAACTGCTCTTTTCAATTAACAGAGCAAGCCCCTGATGGTTATTGTCCTTTGTGGTTCAAACTGCAAGTGTAATTAATCCTGGAGACTGTATATCTTTGCAAGAGTCAGCTAATATTACTGCCTTCCAGCTGCAAGCTCTGCTCCAGGGGGACACCGCGAGCTCCCGTGGGCTTCTCCCGCCCTCCAGGTGTGTGCTGGCATGTGGCCCACGCAGCGAGTTTCACGTGGGCTGCTCTAATGGAAATGCCCTTGGCATCACCTTCATCTGCCTGGTCCCAGCTTAAGGTGGTAAAGCCTGCCAAGATAGTTGGCCCTCAGAACAGAAAGCCTTAGAAAGATGGCCCAGGTCAGGTGTCAGTGGCTCATGGGTGTCATCCTAGCTACTCAAAAGGCTGAGATCTGAGTTTCAGAGTTCATAGTCAGCCTGGGAAGAAAAAATAATCACGTGAGACCCTTATCTCCAATGAGCTAGCAAAAAGCCAGAAGTGGAACTGTGACTCCATTGGTGGAATACTCACCTTGAGCAAAAAAGCTAAGGGACACCTCCCAGGCCCCAAGGTGTAGCCTCAAAACACACACACACACACACACACACACACACACACACACACACACACACACACACACACACACACACACACACACACACACACACACACACACACACACACACACACACACACACACACACACACACACAGTGTCCCACAGGAAGGCAGTGGCCATCCAAGCCCACCTAGCCCCTAGGGAACAACCTTGGCACTCGGGATTCCACCCTATCTCCAGCAGATAGCATTCCCAGCAGGGTGGTACTGGCCACTTGCCCTGCCCAGAACGTACCGTAGCCTGCAGAGCCAGAGACACTGAGGAATAACTAAGCCGCTGCACCCCACAGCTCCCCAGCCAACCCACTGCTGGGCTAGCAGTGCAGGGCCCGCCCCTGCCAGCAAGAACTTTGCTTTAGTGGTTCCACTGAAAAGCACTGTGGTGTTCCAGGTTCGAGTGAGAGAGCGCGTGAATAATGGAAGAGTAATCAGGACTCAGAAAGACTTGTAAGGAGCTGGGAAGGTGGCTCAGTGGTAGAATGCTTGCCTAGCATGCATGAGGCCCTGCATTTGATTCCTCAGTACCACATAAACAGCAAAAGCCAGAAGTGGAGCTGTGGCCCAAGTGGTAGAGTGCTAGCCTTGAGTAAAAGAAGCTCCGGGACAGTGCCAAGCCCTGAGTTCAAGCCCCAGGACTGGCAAAAAAAAAAATACTTGTAACCAGATGCTGGTAGCTCATTCCTGTAATCCTAGCTACTCAGGAGACCAGGATCTGAAAATCATGGTTGAAGGCCAAGCATGGGCAGAGAAGTCCATGAGACACATTTTTTTCCCGTCCATCGTGGAGCTTGAGCTCCAGGCCTGGGTGCTGACCCTGAGCTATTTTGCTCAAGGCTAGTGTTCTACCACTTGAACTACAGCTCCACTCCTGCTTTTTTGATGGTTAATTAGAGCTAAGAGTCACGTGAACTTTGTCTATGTGGCCCAGACCTGCCAGCCTCCTGCCCCAGCCTCCCAACTACTAAGATTACAGAATTGCCTGTTTGAATCCTGGATTGGGCGGCGGCTGCTCAGTGGGCTCACTGCCCAGGGAAGAGCCATGCTTGGGTGGCTCCTGAGGCCCTTGGGGAAGTGCCTTAGTGATCAGCCCACAGAAAGGACAGTCTGCCTTCCTCTCTGCTTACGTCTAGTCTGGAACAGAGTGTTCCTACCTCAGAACCTAAGAAAGACAAGGAAGTAAAGTGGTTCTGGTGACCCACAGCCACAGATCCCACTGACCACACGGTGCCCAGCACCCCGCCACGTGACCCACTAATGAGACATCTTTGCTTAGAATTCCTTTATCTGTAACCCCTATGTTTACAGACAGTAACTGATGACAATGTCCAGAAGATGATGGAAATGCCCACCGAGATTTCAGTCGCACACACACCAAGAAAACTGCCTGAGAGTGAGCCATCGTGTGTTTGTGTTTGAGCTTATTATCCATGTTTTCTCTGTAACATTCTACCCCCAGGATTAACGAAACAGAAGCATGGTGCTGGTGGCTCACACCAGCTAATCGGGAGGCTCAGATAGGAGGATCACCGATCAATGGCAACCTGGGCAGGAACCGTCAGTGAGCCTCTTATCTCCCATTAACTAGCAAAAAGCTAGAAATGGAGGTGTGGCTTAAGTAATAGAGTGCCAGCCTTGAGTGAAGAAGCTAAGTAAGAGTGTGAGACCCTGAGTTCAAGTCTCAGTGCTGGCAGGAAAGAAGGAAGGAAGGAAGGAAGGAAGTGCTAGGCACTGGTGGCTCACACCTATAATCCTAGCTACTCAGAAGGCTGAGATCTGAGGATCGAGGTTCAAAGCCAGCCCCAGCAGGAAAGACCGTGAGACTCCTATCTCCAATAAACCACCACTCCTATCACCAATAAACCTCATGCTTAACATGCATGAGGCCCTGGGTTTAAATATGTAGTAAGTATTGAAAATGAACATTTACAGTATAAAACAACTTATGGCTTTTACAAACAATGGTATGGGTAATATAATGGAGTTTGAGTCAGGACCAAAATGCTCTGCAAGCTGTGAAAATACAACTCAGAAATAAAATCTTTAGGGCTGGGAAGGTGGCTCAGTGGTAGAGCGCTTGCCTTACATGCATGAGGCCCTGGGTTCCATTCCCCAGCACCACATAAGCAGGAAAAAAAAAGCCGGAAGTGGCGCTGTGGCTCAAGTGGTAGGGCGCTAGCCTTGAGCTGAAGAGCTGAGGGGAAGAGGAAGAGGAAGAAGAAGAAGGAAGAAGAAGAAATAATAAAATCTTTTTAAAAAAGAAAGAAACATCAAATAAGTCGGGTGCCCAGTGGCTCACCTGTGTAATCCTAGCTAAGCTGGGGCAACAAAGTCCCCATGAGATAAGCACCAGAAAACTGAAAGTGGAGCTGTGGCTCAAAGTGGTGGAGCACCTAGCCTTGAGTGAAAAGGTTCAGAGGCAGCACCCAGGCCCTGAGTTCAAGCCCCATAAACTACCAGAAAAAGAAAGAAAGAAAGGTCAAGCCATGTGTGAACAGAGCAGTTTGGATACTTATGCTCAGAGACCCATGTGAGAAAACAGAGTGGAAGGAAATGATTACAAGAAGAAAGGAAAGCCGGGCGCTGGTGGCTCACGCCTGTAATCCTAGCTACTCAGGAGGCTGAGATCTGAGGATCCCGGTTCAAAGCCAGCCCAGACAGGAGAGACTGTGAGACTCCTATCTCCAATAAACCACCAGAAAACCGGAAGTGGCGCTGTAGCTCAAGTGGTAGAGCGCTCGCCTTGAGCTGAAGAGCTGAGGGACAGCGCCCAGGCCCAGAGTTCAAACCCCACGGCCGACCAAAAAAAAAAGAAGAAGAAGAAGAAAGGGAATTGGGAGGTGGAGGGAGTGAAATTTAGGGGGAGGTGAGAACCTGGGAAGAGAGAAGTTCAGACTGGTCAGATTGGATCTGAAAACACCTGCTTGCTTGGTGTCCACTCCCCTACCACCACCACTACCCCTTTTTTGTTTATTTTGGTCTCGTCTCCATTTAAATGTGTTCAGCTGAATGAATGCTCATTTCTGATCTGGAGTCTGAGGAAAGACTTCCCTCAGTTAAACCCTACCTCACCCCAGTGAAAGTGAATGTCTAATTATAGGCCAAGTTTGAGATTTACTAGATGCAATCAACAGCTGTAGAGAAGACACTAGTCTTACAAGAAAGAAAGAAATTGACACACTGTTACCATAAAAAGCCCAATTGTTAATTGCTTTTTTGGTATCCAGCTATATAAAGCAAACACCCTTTTGCTGTTTAATATTAAAGTAAATGTCGTGGAAAGAACATTGGGCTAGAACCAGGAAGGGCTGCTTGTCACCAAATACCTGTGATCTGGAGGGGAAATGTTCCATGTCTCTCAGGCTTCAGTTTTTTATCTACAAAATTGAAGGCATGAAACCAAATTATCACTTTCGGCTTAAAAATGCTATTCTGAATCTCGAAATCACAATGTACTCCTCATCACTGTCTGGCTCTTTCCCACAACTTCATTTCACGATAGCGTAATACAATTTTATGATTTTGTGGTATGATCAAGAGCCACACCATGGAGCCCAGGTACCCATGGCTTACACAGATAATCCTAGCTACTCCAAGAGACAGAAATCCTGAGGATTGCTGTTCAAGGCCTCCCAGGAAAATCAGGTTGGAAGTATGGCTCAAATGGTAGAGCATCAGCCAGGCAAGTGAGTTCCAGCTATGCAGCAGCACAGAAAAAAAAAAAATGGAGTTAAGCATCTCCAGTTATTGTTTTTTTCTTTTCTTTTCTGTAAACGCAATACTTTTCTGGTTGTAATCATGAATTAAAGTTTGTCTTGAGGCCCTGCAGGTCTTTTTTGGGGGGTGGAGGGAATAAGAGGGGGTACTGGGGCTTGAACTCAGGCCCTCTGTGCTATCCCTTAGCTTTCTTGTCTCAAGGCTGGAGGTCTACTACTGTGAGCCACAGCTCCACTTCTGGCTTTTTGCTGGTTAATTTGAAATAGAAGTCTCACAGACTCTCCTGCCCAGGCTGGTTTTGAACCTTGATTCTCAGATCCCAGACTTCTGAGTAGCTAGGATTACAGGTGTGAGCCACCAACACCTGGCTTGTTTGCTTCTTAAAGTGTGGACCTAGATTGTTTCTGAAGAAGGTGAGCTGGGTGACATTGTACACTCAGAGCTTGCAGGGTGTCCCCTGTACCCTGACAGCCACAAATCTACTCCTTCCCTCTTCTGGACATTTCATACAGAGGGTGAAAGTTTCAGTGCATTGATTTTTTTTAATGTTTTTTTTTCTAGGATCCTAAACACTTCAAATCAGAGAAGACAGGACGGGGCCAGCTAAGGGAAGGCTGGCGAGATAGTCATCAGCCCATCATGTGTTCTTACAAGCTGGTGACCGTGAAATTCGAGGTGTGGGGGCTTCAGACCCGAGTGGAACAATTTGTGCACAAGGTAAAGTGGATCCCAGAGACGCTCCTGGGCTGTGGACAAGGTCGCTGCCTTGGTTGTCAAGTTCAAGTACTGCGCTATACAACCAATGCCCAAGTGCTGAGCCCCGGCCAGGTAATTAGCTAGGAAACACCTTAGGTGAGAGAGCGTATTTATTTACACCTGGAGTTCCATCTTCTCCTGAGAAACTAGTTATAGACATGGTACACTTTAGCTCTCATTCTGTGACCTCCTCCACGCTGACCAGGTCAGTGTAATTTGGGAAGGGATGCTTTCAAAATGTACCGCTCACTTTGGCCTTAGAAAGAGGCCCAGATAGCTTCTTTCCTTGGGGGGGGCGGGGGGGGGCAGTGCGGGGGGCAGGGATTCTCACTCACTCGGATCTTGTGAACATAAGCTAGAACAAGAACTGCTAGTCGTCCCTTCGAGACACATAGTTCAGCATTTCTGCTCACTTAATAACTCTGTTACTGAAGAATTATTAAGAGCCCCAAAACACAGATCTCAATTGCATACTCACTTTTGTCAGAATAGATTCATTTTGTAGCAGAAACCTACGTGGGGATGATTTAAGTTTTCTGAGGGTTTCTAAGGTGACTCTTCTCCTTGTGACTTAAAAACTATAGGAAATGTGATATAGAGTATGACCTTTTATAGCTTGTCACTTTCATAAAAATAAATAGCCCATGCTGGGAATGTGGCTCAGTGGTAGAGTACTTGCCTAGCATGCATGAAGCCCTGGGTTTGATTCCTCAGTACCACATAAACAGAAAAAGCCAGACATGGCGCTGTGGCTCAAGTAGTAGAGTGCTAGCCTTTGAGCAAAAAGAACTCAGGGACAGTGCCTAGACCCTGAGCTCAAGCCCCAGGACTTGCAAAATAAATAAAATAAAATAAATAGCCCTGTGCTATTTATGTGCTTTTAATCCTAATTACTCAAGAGGCTGAGATCTGAGGATCATGGTTCAGAGGCAGCCTGGGCAGGCTCAACTCTGTGAAACTCAACTCAAATTATCAAGCCAGGCACTGGTGGCTCATGCCTGTAATCCTAGCTACTCAGGAGGCTGAGATCTGAGGATTGAAGTTCAAAGCCACCCCAGGCAGGAAAGTCAGTGGAACTCTTATCTCCAATAAACCACCAGAAAACCGGAAGTGATGCTGTGGCTCAAATGGTAGAGCGCTAGCCTTGAGCTGAAGAGCTCAGGGACAGCGCCCAGGCCCAGAGTTCAAGCCCCGAGACCCACAAAAAAAAGTTATTATTATTATCGTGTCTGGAAATGGCACTGTGGCTCAAAGTGGCAGAGCACTAGCCTTGAGTTCAAGTCTTAGGACTAGCAAGCATAGATTTGATAGATAGATAGATAGACAGACAGACAGATTCCCTTTCATAGATCTCAGTCTTCTGAATAGCTAGGATTACAGGCAGGAGCCACCAACTCCTGGTTTGATTGTGTAGTTTTGAGAGTTTTTTTTTTAAACTACCAGTGAGAATGATGCTGTATCACGGTATTCCTTTGCCCATTTTCAAATGAAATGAGGTGTTACTGTCACCCCCAAACACACCTGCTCTGGCACATGAGTTGCTAATAGGGATCTGAGGATAGCATTTGCATGAGTTTAAGTGCCAAGAATGCCTTTCTCTGAACACCTTTGTTTTTTTGGTTGTTGTTTTGTTTTGTAAAGAATCTATTCACAGTGAAGGGGGAGAAAATGTTGGAAAGCGAGCCATTAACACATTATTGGAGTCTTGTTTCCCGCGACAGCTGTGTTGTGTTTAATGTAATAGAGTAGATTTACCACCACTGGGCTTTGAAGTTCTCCTTTAGATTTCCATGAGTCTGACTTGCTCAGCTCTCAAATATGCATGGTGCCTGCTCCTGTTTCTATTCACCCGAGCTTCCTACCTCCAAATCTTAAAAGCCTGCGTACATATCCAGAGGCCTAGAGGAATAAACACTTCATTAGATATGCTTCTTAGGTTTCTGCAAACTTACTGAATTAAAATCCTCCATTTACCAGCCAGGTGCCAGTAGTTCACGCCTATAATCCTATCCATTTGGGAGGCTGAAATCTGAGGATTTCTAGGTTCAAAGCCAACCTAGGCAGGAAAGTATCTGAGACTCTTATCTCCAATTTAACCACCAGAAAATTGGAAGTGGAGCTGTGGCTCAAGTGGTAGAGGGATAGCCTTGAGCAAAAAAAGAAACCCAGGGACAGTGCCCAGGCCCTGAGTTCAAGCCCAGGACTGGCAAAAAATAAAAAATATATGCTGGGCACCGGTGGCTCATATCTGTAAATCCTAGCTACTCAGGAGGATGAAATCTGAGGATCGCAGTTCAATGCCAGCCTGGGCAGGCAAGTCCATAAGACTAATCTCCAATAAACCACCAGAAAACCAAAAGTGGCGCTGTAGCTCTAGACTTGAACTGAAGAACTCAGGGACAGTGCCCAGGTCCAGAGTTCAAGCCCTACAACTAACATACATACATACATACATATATATATATATATATATATATATACACACACACACACACACACACACACACACACACATATACATATACACACACATATGTATATACATACATATGTGTGTGTGTATATATATATACTCATATGTATGAGTAAATTGTTTCTTATTAATGTATTGTTTGTTTACTTTTGTCATCATGGTGCCTGAACTCAAGGCCTGGGTGCTACCCCTGACCTTTTGTGTTCAAGGCAAGCCCTCTACCACTTGGAGCCACAACTCCACTTCCAATTTTCTGGTGGTTAAATTGGAGATAAGAGTCTCATAGACTTTCCTGCCTGAGCTGGGTTTGAACTACAATGCTCATATCTCAGCCTCTTGAGTAGCTAGGAGTACAAGTGCAAGACACTAGTACCCAGCTATGTAAATATGTCTTTATATATTTGTACATATATACGAGTAAATTGCTTTTTCTCCTTCTATTACACGAAAGTCATACATACAAGGATATTGTATACCACACCTTGATTGACTTTTAAAAACCTGAATCCATATTTAAGATATTTCATCTGAGAAGAAAGAATGTTAGAAGTAGCTTGTTACCCAGAGAGGCGTTTCTAATTTCCAGTATTTATGACCTCCTGGCACCAATATGAGACACACCCTCCCACAAATGAAAAGTAGGCACTGTTCTAATTAAAGACCTAAAAGAGAAAAATCTCAAGGTAGCAGGGGCCAGTGACTCAGGGGCCTAGCTGCTCAGGAGATGGAGATCTGGAAGATTTAAGTCAAAGCCAGCCTGGACAAAAAAGGGAGAAAACTGAGTATGATAGTCCTGTCTACATAGGAAGCTGATATTGGGAGGACTGTAGTTCTAGGCCAGTCCAACATACACACACACACACGCACACACGCACACACGCACGCACGCATTTTGACAAGACCTCAATTCATCAAAAAAAAGCTAAGCATTGTGGTGCAAGCTTATTATCCCTGTTACAAGAAACAAATAGGAGGACTTCAGTAGCCCATTTTTGGGCAAATAGCAAGACCCTATCTAAAAAATAGCCACACCTAAAAGGGCTAGAAATATGGTTCAATTACTAAGCAAGTACAAAGCCCTGAATTCAAGCCTCAATACCACCACAAAAAGGAAAAAAAAACAAAAAAAAACCTTAAGATGATTTTACCCAGACATAGTTGCCATTAGTGCATGAAAGGCTTTCCCAAGACAATCACTCGACACATGGTTACAAAGAAAAAGGAGTTTAATGTCAGTAACCTGACAGGCTACCGCACAGGCTGATGGTAGCAGCTGGGCAACACTACATGCACAGTTGTATAGGGCTGGATTCATGGGGGATGTGAGAGTGAGGAATTCCACTGTGGCGTTGCTAAGATTTATGGTTGTAGCTGCACAGACAAGAACTGCTTTAATGAGGACCGGGAGGTTCTGTCATTAGAGGAAAGGCTGTGTCATCTAATTTCTGGGAAGGGTCACCTGATCTTAGGGAAGGGCTGTGCGAGGCCTAAAATGGTGGATTGGCTCCTAAGATGGAGGAGGTTAGGCTAACAGTGCCCAACCCCAGTCCAACTCAAATGAGACAAAGCCATTGACATCTGTAATTATATGGGTGTTGTGGAAAAGGCCTGGGGTGAACAAGCATAATATAATACATTTCAACCGACAGCTTCACCACATATCGATTGAGAAACCCATAGTTGCCAAGTTCCCAGAAGTGAGGGCCATCTTTTTTTCCCAGAGTTTTAATGAAACATGGGTTTGTTTTGGTTTGTTTTGTGCCTGTCCTAGAGCTTGGACTCAGGGCCTGCGCTCTGTCCCTGAGCTTTTATTTTTTTTCCCCTCAAGGCTAGCACTCTACCACCTTCCACTTCCGGCTTTTTAAGTGATTCATTGGAGATAAGAGTCTCATGGACTTTCCTGCCCATGCTGGCTTTGAATAGTGATCCTCAGATCTCAGCCTCCAGAGCAGCTAGAATTACAGGCATGAGCCACCGGTGCTGGGCTTGGAACATGGTATTATTTCAACCTCCTCTTTCTCCTTTTTTAGGTTGTCCGAGACATTCTGCTGATTGGACACAGGCAGGCTTTCGCGTGGGTTGATGAGTGGTATGGTAAGTCACCTTGCCTGAAGTCACTTGGAGAACCATTTCCTAATGTGTTGGCTTGGGATTTCAGTTCATCTAGAAGGCCAAGCACAAAGGCAGGCTACTGCTTCCTGTCTTAGAAATGGCCCTGTCCACTGAACATAATAGAGATACAATTATAGAAGCTGGGTCTAAAATAGCCTCAGAGCTACTGACAAAGTAGGCCTCAGTATGTTTGATGCTTGTATATAGTTGATATGCAAGGTCCTCTCTTTCTCTGTTGGATGCATTTCAAACCCATCCTAATTTATCCCCAAACTCCAATTCAGGATCAAAGCTGTCTCATGTCAAGAAAAACAGTCCTTTGAGGCAGAGAACACTTGAAACAATCCCTCACCAATTGCTACCGGTTCGGTAAAAATTCAAGGGCACATAGAGGAGCAGGTGCCCCAGTAAGCCTTTTGGAAGCCATTGTTCTGACTTGTTGGTTATGAAACGGGAAGAGTTAAGGAAGTTCTGCACTTTGTCACTCTGTGAAAATGAGGTTTGCTTCATCCCGTGACGGATGGCCTGCCCTCCCCAGATGCTCAGCCCTGTGGATGTGTGCACGAGTCCTTTGTATTCCCAGAACCCATCAGCAGATGACCTGTGTCCTTGGCTATAAATAGAAATGAACACACCCAACGGGTGACTTAGCTTCCATCTGATTTTCAGATCATTTATCTAATGAAATACCCTTCTCCTTGACCCTCCCCCAAGTCCCATCCCATTTGTTCTGAGTGTAACCTAAATCATATTTTGAACCTTTTCCATCATCATTTCACCCATCCCTCCCATTTCTTAGCCGAAGGTAGCACATTTAAAGTAACAGGATACGTGGGGCAGAATGGACCAAGACAGTGATGGTTACAAATGTTGTTGCTTCTGAGCCACATTTGGACGGGTGTGGTTCTGTAAGCTATGGGCTTGTTTTGTGTTGAGTTTTCCCAGACTTGTACCTTCTGAGGAGTACATGCATTTTCCTGGGTTGGTCCAAACACACCCTCTGTTGAGTAGCAAGTTGCCGTATATAGCAAATTGTGGTGAAAATATCCAAAGACCCATCTATTTGTCTTGTCGTTAGTGAGGCAGGTGGACAAGCAGCTTCCTGCAATTACTTCCCCTCATCCCGAAGCAAATCTTTGTGGGTGGTAACCCCCCTTGGGAACTCCTCTCAGATTCTCAAAAGGAGCATAGCTACCACCACCCCACCCCACCACCCCCAAAAAAAGGTGAACCGCTTCTGACCCCTCCTAACCTGGTCATCTCAGAGCTCAAGGTCCACACACTGTTGCCAACCTCAAGGCAATAGCGAAAGGGGATTTGAAGAGTATTCATAATTGAACTGATCAGAAGTTTGGCAAGGGGACAATCATCTGGAGGGCCAGAAGTCTGTGACTGTAAAGACCAAGAGAGGGCTGGGAAGGTGGCTCAGTGGTAGAGCGCTTGCCTAGCACGCATGGAGCCCTGAGTTCCATATACACAGAAAAGCCGCAAGTGGTGCTGTGGCTCAAGTAATAGAGTGTTAGCTTTGACTACAGAGAGGCTCAGAGACAGAGCTCAGGCCCTGAGTTCAAGCCCCAGGACCAGGAAAACAAGAAGAAGAGGAGGAGGAAGGAAGGAAGGAAGGAAGGAAGGAAGGAGAGAAGAAGGAAGAAGATGACAACAACCAAGAGAGACTTGGATAGGTTTCATTGTGGACTTTCCAGGAAAAAGGTAGCTGTAGAGAACAAAATATTGATAGAGGAATGGGGAAAAAAAAATAATTGTAGGTGAGTCTCCAGTGTGTGAATGACCTGTACAGAAAATAGGAGGGGAGGGGCTGGGAAGGTGGCTCCGTGGTAGAGTGCTTGCCTTGCATGCATGAGGCCCTGGGTTCGATTCCTCAGCACCACATAAGCAAAAAGAAAAAAAAGCCGGAAGTGGCGCTGTGGCTCAAGTGGTAGAGCACTAGCCTGAGCTGAAGAGCTGAGGGACAGCGCCCAGGCCCAGAGTTCAGGCCCCACGACCAGTCCCAAAAAAAAAAAAAAAGAAAATAGGAGGGGAGGGGATTCTTTGCAAACCAAGGACAAGGAAGAGACTTAAGGACATTTAATTCAGTGAGAGGGGAGCAATTGGGGAGAGGGAAATGGAATGCTAGGCAGGCATAAGGCCCAAATTCTCAAATTAGTACAGGAACCCAAAGCTAGAATAATAACTGAAAGGATATTCAAGCTCTCCCGTCTGGAAATCTTTAAGAAAAACACCTAACTATTTACCTAGGGTAGATGAGGGAAAGGCAGTTAACAGCCCAAGAAGTCTGTTGATCAAGAAATCCTTTGTGTGTCTGAGTGGAAGACAGAGGGGAAGAATGTGGGCTTTCATAGATGCAGATCATCAGAGCCCTGTTCCTCCCCCCCCCCCACCCCAGTGGGTCCCCACTTTCTAGATCCACAGCCAAAGCCCCAGGCAAAACAAGCCACCTTTTAACTCACTGGTGGGCCGATCTGAGAAGCACACACCCAATTTCTTGTGAACTGCTGCAGGCCGCCCAGCTGAGGTGTTAGTGGAGACCACAGTGGCTCCTTCATTGCCTGCCACAGACACTCAGGAAATGCACTGAATGGAAACAGCCCCCGCCACTCTGACTCCCAAGCCTCGTGTGCAAGATCGAGCTGGGGATGGAGGGTCTTCCAGGAAAATGAGTGACTGTTACCAAGGCCACGAGCACACCCAGAGACCCCTTCAATTCAGGCACCTGGTTGGTGTTGCTTCTTTTTCTTTGGTTTGTGTAGGCTCAGTGAGGCTCACATTAAGGTGTAAAGAAGTCTTTAAGCCAGGCACCAGTAGCTCACGCCTGTAATCCTAGCTACTCAGGAGGCTGAAATCTGAGGATCACAGTTCAAAGCCAGTTTAGGCAAGAAAGTCCTTGAGCCTCTTATCTCCAATGAACCACCAGAAGACCAGAAGTGGCACTGTGGCTCAAGTGGTAGAGCACTCACCTTGAGCTGAAGAGTTGAGCGACAGTGCCCAGGCCCAGATTTCAAGACCCACAACTGACCAAAAAAGAAAAAGAAGAAGAAGCAGCTTTTGTTGGGGTTGGAGGTGTGGCTCAGCTGGTAGAGTGCCAGCCAATGAATGAAAGCATCCGATATCAAGTTTGAGTCCCAGTCTTGGGCCTTAAAAAAAAAAAAAAATGAAGAAGCCTTTGGCAGCCTGGCACTGGTGACTCATACATATAGTCCCAGATTATAGATCTGAAGATGGTAGTTCAGAGCCAGCTCCAGGAAGAAAAGTCCATAAGACTCGTAACTGCAGTTCACCAGCAAAAAGCTAGAATGAAAGCTAGCCTTGAATGAAAAGCCAAATAAGAGCACAAAGCCCTGAGTTCAAGTCCCAATAATGGCCCTTGGGTACCACTTAGCGCAGAGATTCTGGTGAGCGACCCCCTACCCCCAAACCTAATGACTCAGAAATTTTGGAGGATTTAGGTCCAGCCATCTGGTCTACCAGGGTAATCTGATACCCTAGAGGTGATTCAGAACCACAGACTCTTATGGTATAGGTTATAAACCACAATGGAATTTATGGATAATTTAACTCATTCTATCCCAAAGGGTTAGACCAGGAGATCATAGTTTTCTTCAGGGACAGCTGCTAAACTTGGATCCCTTACAATAAAACACTCCCCTTTAAATAGATGAATTAGAACATGAGTCCCCTACTGGGCAGTGTATTTGGAGCTGAATTTTAGCCCCATTCATGTCAGCTCTGTGTTCAGTGCACCCCCTGGGCACCGGTCCGCACCATGCATGACAGCCCTGGCTTCTCTTTAATTAGACTCACCACCTTCAGAGTGTCATTATGAGTCAAGAAAAGAGACGCTGGACAGGACAGGATCCTTTCCTATCCAAGGGTTCATTTTTGCATCTCTCCTGAACATTTGCCTACCACGAAAGTCCTTCCCTAAGCAGATTTGATTCTGTTCGTGTTCATTGTAAAGTGGAGCCATTTCCGTGTGGAGGAGTTGAGTTGGTCTTTCAAAGCCCTGATTGGTCTTTATCTGTGAGCCTTGGGTCTTTGTGCATGACTAGAACACTAATCGGAGAAGCTATAACACATTTCAGAAGATGGGGAGAGAGGAGTGGTGGATAAAAATAGCCAGCCCGGCTTTACAAAAGCATGATTTTGCTTCTCAAATCTGACAGTGTTTTCAGAGAGGCAAGCTGAGGGAGCCAGAGGGACCTGTGACCCGGGGGACCTCACCAATGTCTTTGAAAATCTGAAGCTTCCCCTAAAAAAGTCTGTGGGAAGGTGACTTCTAGCTGGCATAGATGACACTGCACCATGAAAGTGACTTGGAAATCAGCTGGAGTCCCTGGAGCCGGCCTGCCAACCAATGAAGCCTGCTCAGGTGGAGAAATAGGCCTGCAAGGCTAGTGTTAGCTGGTAGAGATTGCCACGCCAGCGTTGCCCAACAACCTGGGTCTCTGAAATGAACTTGAATGCCTGGCTCTTGTGCAGTGTTTTACTACGTACGTGTGTGTGTGTGTGTGTGTGTGTGTGTGTGTGTGTGTGTGTGTGTGTGTGTGTGTGTGTGTGTGTGAAGGAAGGAAGAGGGGGGAAGAGGGAGGGAGGAATAAAGGAAGGAAGAGAGGGAGGAACAAAAGAAGGAAGGAAGTGGGGCCTAGCTTTTTGTATTGACTTATAATCACTTTGATGAGCTCATAAGTGACACTTGCCAAAGGAGAGAGCCACCATTTTGCTGTAGCTAGAGTATCCAATCTAACTAACAATTGCTGGCTCGGCCCTGAGTCAAAGCCTTGCTCTAGACTTTCATTTTGACTTCAAATCAGAAGAAATAACCTCTGTTTTGGCTTTGAAGACTAGAAATGGGAAGGTGGCATTTGCAGGAGAAAGTAGCATCCCCAGATAACACTGCTGAGCAAGACCGGCATGTTGAGTCCTCTTCGCTCACATTGCCGGTGCACGAGCAAGAGATGCTCACC